AGCTTCCTAGGAACGTTAAATTATGTTGGAAAGTTCCTACCTCACTTAGCAACAAATACTGCAATATTACGTGAGCTGATTACAAAAGATGCTCAATGGGACTGGACTGAAAAGCATCACAGCGCTTTTAATGATCTTAAGAAACAACTAGAATCAGCACGAAACCTCGCCTATTTTGACCAACAGAAAAAGACGCACCTCTATGTAGACGCTGGTCCCATAGGACTTGGAGCGATCCTTTCGCAAGAACTTAACAACAAAACAGAAGTTATTTCATACGCTAGCAGAACATTAACTTTGACCGAACAGAAATACAGTCAAATAGAGAAAGAAACCTTAGCAGCAACATGGGCCATACATCACTTCAGAATATACCTGTTAGGAGGTCACTTTGTGTTACACACAGACCACAAACCCTTGGTCTCAATCCTACAGAACCCTCGATCAGCTCCAAACGCACGCATTGAACGACTTTGTTTGAAACTTCAGCCTTATAAATTTACAGTTCAATACCAAAGAGGCATAACAAATCCGTCTGATTATTTATCTCGTCATCCAACACACAGCCCACCAGAAGCATATGATAAAAGTGAAGAATACGTAGCTTTTGTAACCAATCATTCACTACCAAACACAATTTCACTTGAAGAAATCGAAAATGCAATGAAAGATGATTTTCAGTTGCAGCTACTGAAAAAGGCCTTGTTAGAAGATGATTCCTTGTTTTGGAAGAAACGAGAACTGCAAACATTCAAGCAAATCAAACAAGAGCTCACTGTATATGGTAATATTATTCTCAAAGGCAGTCAAATCGTAATTCCCAGCAAACTGCAGAAAAACATTATCAGATTGGCACATAAAGGTCATCAAGGTCTCGTTAAAACCAAACAACTGGTAAGAACTAAGGTATGGTTTCCCAACATCAACAAAATGGTAGAAGAAGTAGTGAAGTCATGCACAGCATGTCAAGCAGTGACACCCTACAACCAGCGAAATCCGATTCAAACATACCCGACATCCACTTACCCGCTTGAATGTCTAGATGTAGATTACGCCGGACCATTTCCAGATGGAAAATATTATTTCATAATGGTAGATGATTTCTCAAAGTTCCCATTCGTCAAAAAAGTACCATCGACCAATTTCAAACAGCTGAAGCCCGTACTTGACGAGACATTTGCACTATTTGGCCTACCAAAAGAACTTAAATCCGATAATGGACCACCCTTTAATGGATACGAGTTGAAAGAATATCTTTCAAGCCTTAACATCAAGCATCATTTGATAACACCACGTTGGCCAGAAGCAAATGGCAGAACTGAGAGATTCGTGAAAACGTTCAAGAAAGCCCTCTTGTGCGCAACAATCAACAGCAATAATCCAGACGCAGAAATTCAAGAATTTTTAATCAATTACCGAAGCACCCCTCATTCAACAACAAACTGCCCACCATATCAAATTATGTTCAACAGAGAAATCAACAACTTCTTACCCACTCTCAAAAACAAGACGTTTCATGAATACAATCCCCAAACGGACATCGACAACAGAAGAAAACAAAACGAACGCGCCAATCGTAAAAGAAGGACATTTGAACATCGCTTACAACTTGGACAAAAAGTTCTTTGCAAACAACAAAAGAAGAATTCGCTGACTCCACTCTTTGATCCAGATCCATACACGATCACTAGAATCACCGGTTCTCAAATTGAAGCTCGACGAAGAGAAAAGGTGATTGTCAGAAATTCATCATTCTTCAAGCCACACCACTCAGCACAGAGTCCAACGCCAGAGTATCACCCCTCAACAAGTCTGGCACCCAGTCGATCTTCCCAATCTGAACAAACGCGAGCACCGTTCCCCACAACACCTCCAAGGTCGACAGCTCCAGCCACGACACCCCTTAGACAAGACAACACGGAGGACAAAGTAAACAGTCCCCCAAATCAACGAGTCGAGACGCCCACTGGACGACGCCCCCAGCGAAACAGAAAACCACCGTCGAAGCTCCGGGACTATCTTGTAGAACTCTAATGGCATGTGCGTCATATGAGTTATTGAGTTTAACTTTATTTTGTATTTGGTATGTGTTCTTTAATTTTCAGTAAGGGAGGAAATGTAATGTACTAGCTTAAAAAAAGAGATAGAGAATGAGAGTTGACAGAATATATAAGTTAGAAAAATGAGCTCGTGTAATTTGAGAAACTAACAATATTACCTACCCCAAACAAGACATCACAGCTTCAATATGTGTCTGCTCCATTGCAGTGAAGCTTGGCAGTCTGTGAAATGGGGATTCGCCTTCCAGAGAGAATCCTCTGCACACATTCTGTTACACATTCAATCAAAGTAAAAATTGCTACATAAAAGTCACTGGTATGCTTACCCATTGGTACAATTGAGACATTAGGATTTGCTTCATTTGAGCCTGATCGCTTACTGGAGACCGAACCGTCCGCCTAGCAGGTGATTCAGCCCCCTTCACTCATATTTCTTCTACTCTTCTCGTGGAGATATCAGTACTTCGTATGACAAATTTCTTACTGCAAAGGGAATTTTGCTAACATTCTTCATCATGAAGATGGAGTCAGTTTCCGGCAATGGTCTCATGGTCTGTTCTTGTTGTCATGTTGTTCCATTGACCAGAGCCAGCGCATTCTCAGGAATCCCGACTTAGCCGAAGGTGAAGAGGAGGTAGCCCGACCAGAATTTCCATGGCAGGTGTTTGTGTGGTTCTCATTGCTCCCGTTATCATCAAGCAGGAAAGACATTGTTTTCGGGTCAAAAGGGTGTTAGCTCAGACCTTCATCGCCGAGCCGCATCAAATAACAGCACCATAAAGGATCATCAAAGTGTAGTCTTAATTTTCTTCATCTGATTTGTTACGTGGGTCCTTCAGGAAAGCTTATGGTCCAGACAAATGCCTACGCATTTGACTTCCTTGTGTTCACGCAGTATTTTTCTAAAAAATGTAGGGTTCACATAGTGGTCCCAATGCCTCCTTGTAAACATGGCATGGCTAGTTTTCTCAATGAGTGCGAGTTCCCTCACACAAGCGGGGATACAACTCCTGCAGATAACCGTATATAGCCAGTATCCGTTGTAAATCTAGACTCACATTGATCGCGGATCCGCCTGACAAGTATCGGATCCCTGCCGCGCTTGATCAAAGATATATTCAAATGTTGCATTGTCAAGCGCCCCCGCTATATTCAGAAATGTTCCACATTAGACGACGTTAGAATGATGGGTCTAAAACTCTTAGACTTAGCATACGTACTAAGCCCAGTTTTAGGATAAAAACAGCTATTAAATACTTCCCTCCACCTACTAGGTATGTAGCCTAGAATGATCCAAGCCTTGAAAAGTTGCAACAGTGGTTTAGTAAAAGATTCTAGTCAATTTTGTAACTGGTCTGGAAAAATCTCATTCATGCCCGCTGATTTAAATGGGACAAAAGAGTTAATTGCTCATTTCAACTTCTCTGCTGACGACTTGAGACGTAAATTGCTATGTTTTCCGAGAAGCGGTATGAGTTGGTGCTTCCTACACCTCCTGTTACACTTTAGTGAGTTCAGGATAGAGGATATGCCTCAAAGTATCTTTTTAGGACACTGAAATTTCCCGAAGACATACGCAGCGATCCTAGCGTACGGGTCTTTAGTGCGGACCTTCTGAAGTCTTGCTGCTTGTGGAAGCTGTCTATTTTTCTACGTTGAATTGTAGATTTCAATACCTTTTGAGCCCTCTTTAGAGAGAGCTCTTAAGAATTGTGTCAGTTGTTAAGTTGGGCTCTATTCCAGAGTTTCCTTGCAGTCTGCCTCAACCTACTGAAGTTCCGCCATGGGACACAGTCGATCCTTTTACATATCGGACTCTATTTGGCAACTTCAACATCTTTTTCGCGAGAGCGTCTTTAAAGGAGTCTCGGTTTGTCACTCTTGGATCTCCATGCTCTTGTTCCGACTCTCCGTTCTTTTGAATTTTAAATCGGATGTATCGATGAACCGATAAACTCAGCTCTATCGATACATGCTAATCTTTGATTTCATGAGTCAATCCTATTGAGCACAGGATGATGTCAATAACCTTTACGTTAGTAACGAAAATAGGTTCGTTTCCACGGTTCAGAATTACCAAACGAGTTGTAACAAGGTAATTCAGAAAGCCTCCCCTGTGGAATTGACATCTGAACTCTCCCACACGGTGTGGTGTGAATACGCATCGCACACTACGACCCAAGGCTATCCCTTTGTCTTACCAAAATCTATTACCGCCATCAACTCAGTTGAGGGTGACAGCAAAGATGAGTTATAAAGCATATAGCCCAACTATATCAGTGTTCTCGGTGTTCCATCGCATAACATCCCTAGGCAAAAGTTTTCAAAAGAAGGAATCCTTATTCACTAGGCTAGTGACTATCATTTTTTGCATTTCCGTCTTCCTATCTACCCAGCGGCCTTAGAGTCGCAGGGTTGAAGATGTAGAGAACCCTGCTTCTTGCGCTCAGGGCTGCTATCGATGTTTCCCATTTTCCAACGAGCCGAGTTGCGTTAAGTCCGACACATTCTGTTCCACTGATGACTCAAATAGGGATCCCTAGGCCAGGATGCTGGTCTTCTATAAGAGCCTCAGAGTTATTGTGGTTCCTGGACAAGTATCAAGGCTTTTCTTGGTAGTGGAAGTTCCGCGTTTGGTGCATATCGTAGGGTAAGACTGTCCAAGTGTCATAGGGTCCTCGTTGGCGTTTTTTTTTCGTAATTACAAGTTGTTGAACATCTAGGCCTCAGGTAGCTGTGTATTTTGTGTGTCTGTAAACCCGATTTTAGACTTTAGAAAAAATATTTTTGTCAGAAAACTTTTTTTGAAAAAAAAAAGAAAGAGAAAACCATCCATAAAATATGAAACCAATGCAATTGCTAGAATATTCGTACAGTCTGGAAAAAAATTAAATTAACTCTAGTTCGTTTAACAACAAAGTACTTTATGAAATTATTTAGGTGAACTGTGTGAAGAAGATTTTAATGAATGTGAAAGCAATCCGTGCCTCAATAATGGGACTTGCTTGGATGCAGCAAATGGATATGTTTGTAACTGCTTGCCTGGATATTCAGGAGTTCATTGTGAACTCGATGTTGCGGTTTGTAACGCTACCAACGAAACAAGATGCGCTAATGGAGGAATTTGTGTTGAAGGTCCCGGAGATACATTTTCTTGCAATTGCCAACCAGGTACTGTATTTATTTATTGTTTTTAAACTTCTTGGATTAGAACATGAACACTTTTAGGCTGGGAAAGCATATTGTGTGAGACTGAAGTCGACGAATGTATGTCTGCACCTTGTAAAAATGGAGGAATTTGTCTTGACCTGATGGCCGACTACTCATGCGCTTGTTTGTTTGGTAAGGGTTTTTTTAAATTTTTACTAGTTACTTTAGAATAGTGTTCTTTTTTAGGTTTTGCAGGAAGAAACTGCGAAGAAAATGTTGAAATATGTGATGTGAATCCTTGTGTGAATGGTGCCTTGTGCCTTATGGAAGACCAACATCCTATATGTTATTGTGTTCCCGATTTTCATGGAGATTTGTGCCAGTTTCAATATGATGAGTGTCAGTTGGGTCCCAAGTAAGAATGTATTGTTTTTTTTTCGGTTAAAACTCAAATTAATACTTTAGATGTATGAATGGTGGAACCTGTGTGGATGGAATTGATAACTCAACGTGTTCTTGTCCGCCAAATCTTACAGGTGTTCGATGTGAGTGCCTTATCCTAGATGAAAATGAATTAGATTGTACTTACACGAGCCCAGAAACAACACCACACGTTGTCACTTTACCATTTTCTCAAAGTACGATAAGCACTGTTACTGTGCCTTCTGTAACAATCACAAGTACGGAAACCGAAGTGCCAAATACCACTGCAGTAGAACCATATTCTACCACTGTAAGTTGGACAACGACAACATTTACACCGACAACGACAGATATTTCTACGAAAAGTACCACTGAGCGAACCGAGACAATCTTGACGTATTCAACTACGCCGAAAATGACGGAAATTACTACTCTGGAGATCACAACTGAAGCGACGGCTACTCCTACCACCGAATCCACGCAAAAAACAGAAGAAACTACGTTAAAGACGTTTTCTCCGTTTACTACGGAAGAACCTATCCCAACGTCTACCACTACAGAAACTTGGACAGAAGTTCCTTACTATAATACTACTGGTAAAACCATAAGCACGGCTACATCAACTGATACTTCTGTTTATTTAACTGGTAGTACTTTATTTTCCACAATATCGACTACTCCGTTGGAAGAACTTACGACCTCTTCATTCTCCGAAGAAAGCACGATTTTTTCGTCAACAATTACTACTTTTTTTACCAAAGAACCAGAAGTAACTACTGGTCAAGTCACCTTGTACACTGCGTCTTCTACTGAACAAACGACTGATAGTACCGTGATACCTTCTTTTGATTGTACTAAAACTTTTTGTCAAAATGGAGGAACGTGTATGTATACGTTGGAAGCAGGTTATCAAGTAAGCATTCAGAAATATATACCTATACTATATCTATTTTGATGCAACCTATTTCAGTGTGTTTGTTCTTTTGATACTGAAGGTACTTTATGTGAAACCAAGTTAGGAGTAAACAATGCCGCATTCACTGGAGATTCGTATCTTAAACATCGACTATCTGATAGCACAAATATAACAATTGAACTGGAAGCAAAAACGTTATCAACAAAAGGCTTACTGTTCTATGTGAATACTGATTCGACATACATGGTACTTTACATTGAAAATGGTCACTTAAAATTTAAATTTTCTTGTGGATATCAAACCATGCTCTTAAGTGAACTTAAGGTACCTGTTAGTAACGGTGATTTAATGAAAATCAAAGCGAAGTATGTTATAGAATCTTCCATCTTAAATTTTATTTTTACTAACACTTTTTTAGATTAGATTTTAGCGCAAATTTGAAACGATGTGACGCTTCCATTAAAGTCAATGATACTCTTTCAATGACAGGGGACCAAATAGCATTTAAAAGAACATTTTCTAAACCGACAGGTTGGCTCTATTTAGGTGGAGTACCACTAGAGGTGTTCAATATCAATCTTCCCGATAGGGGGTTTGTTGGATGCATGTTCAAACTTAAAGTACTGTCAATAAGCAAAATGCTATTCTGTTTGTTTAAACGAAATATATCTTTTAGATATCGGGAAAATATGTAGACATTTTTAAAGAGGCTGAAGATGGTTACGGTGTTACAGAATGTTCATCTTTAGCATGCTTATCCAGTCCTTGTAAAAATGGAGCCACCTGCTTTTCTCACGGCGAAGAATGGAATTGCAATTGCAAAAATGGGTAATAAGATTGATCAACAATCAAGTTCACTATTATTAACGAAACTGTACCAGATTTCTAGGGCGAATGTGTGAAATATCAGTTTGCGATGACAATCCATGCCTCTTTGGAGGAACATGTATTCCATTTTCAGGAAGTGGTTACATTTGCTTGTGTCCTTTCGGAAAACATGGTCATTTCTGCGAGAATGGTATGACTAACATTTTTCTCCAACTGTAATCAAGCACGTTCTTTTCTAGATCTAAAGATAACCGAACCTAATTTTTCGTCAACTATACGTGGTTTGTCATCATATGTCGCGTATCCGATTCCAAATGGTATTTCAGAGAACATGGAGCTCCGCTTTAGGTTTACTCCATCTATGATGGATCAAATATCACTGTTAATGTTCATGGGTCAAAAAGGCCACCACGACTATTATTCTGATCACATGGCTGTAAGTTTTGTTAAGGGTTACATAATGTTAACATGGAATTTGGGATCAGGTCCTAGAAGAATATTTACATCTCAACCAATAGAAGAAGGTTCTGGAGCCTATTTGGTTCAAGTTGGACGTTCTGCAAGACGCGCCTGGTTGAACGTGGATAACATAGGGAATGTTACCGGACGATCACCTGGAAATTTGGTGCAACTAGATGTTTCTCCGACTTTGTATCTTGGTACGTGTGATCAATCATTTTTGAAAAAAAAAAACGTTCAATCGTTATGCAATTACAGGTGGTCACGATTCACTGAATTTTTCTACGCTTCCACATGATCTACCTCTTCATAGCGGGTTTTCTGGATGTATATTTGATGTTGAGTTAGTATCTGGTAGTATAGTGATTCCGCTTCAAGGATCTAGACAAACTGTTGGAAGAGGTGTTGGACAATGCGGAACAACAGAATGTTATGAGCAAAGCTGTCAAAATGGCGGAATTTGTCTTCATCATGCTAGTACGTTTATGTGTCTGTGTCAAGATGGATGGTTTGGTCCTTTGTGCACATTTAAACAAAATCCTTGCGATTCGACTAACCATAAATGCTCAGCTGGAGCTACCTGTGTACCAGTGATGTCTGATTATGAATGCGATTGTCCTATTGGAAAATCTGGAAAGTACTGTGAAAATGGTGAGTACTTATTTAAACTGAATGTATTATAGGTGCGGTAATGTGACATTAAATTTGAAATAATCAGGAGAAATTCAGCTCTATGTTTGCAATTTTCATGCAGTCATAATTACTTAAATGTAAGAATAAGTTACGAAAAGTAGCTTTTTTCACTAGATTTTGTTAATTACTTTTTAAACAATCGATTAACATTTTCTTTTCCATAAAAACGATTCTTTTTCCCTTTTGTGGTAACCCAAAGATCCCGCCTTAAATTGACATGTGACAATCCAACTCGAAAATTCTTAACCAATAAAATGGCAGAATTGTTTGAAATTTGTCCAATGGCATTCACCGAAAAATTTTTTCAGTGAAAAAACATTCTTCTGTCAGGCAACAACACTGTTTTTCAGCGAAAAAAATTATGTCAAATTAATTTGTCAAACTTGTCAAATGAACTTTAATAAAAAAAATGATAATGTAACATACAAATTACTTTTCTGTTGGCGTTAAAGGCATAATCTTCCAAAATACTGGCCACCTCGTTCATTTCGACTGCTTTATTTAGAGGAAACTTGCGTATTTCACAAAATTCTGTAAACTGCTTCCAAATTGAATTTTGCGTTCTTGCGGTCTTTCGGCACTGATTTTCTTTCACTGGGTTTCGAATTTCATACACAGTCTTGTTACCAAATCTTGCTCCCATAATTAAGAAAATCAACCAGCAGCACACACAAAATTTGATGTTTAGAAATTTATTTACGTTTTGCCTTGTTTTGTTACTATTTAGTCTAGGTAGGTATGGTTACTCAACGACTACGCTAACTATAAATTATGTGAATTATTGTCCGTAAAAAGTAAATAAAAATTTTCTCTTTGGATTGTCAAGCCGAATACAACTCGTGATCTGGTTTTTTCTGCAAAATTTGTGTGAAAATTAACTCGTAGCTGTTGCTTTTGGAAAATCACACTCGTCTCCTTCGTCGACTCGTGTGATTTTCGTCGCAACAGCTACTCGGTAATTTGTGTCACAAATTTTGTCGGAAAAAATCAGACCACTTGTTATATTATATTTGAAAAAAAATTGAAAACCCGCGAAAAAATTCAAAAATTTGGTCTTGGTTGTGATCGTCTAATAAAATGGAACCTATGTTGTGCGTGTGTTTTTTTTTGTGACGGAATGCGTTCAAATGCAAGTGGTGGACCCCAAGATTAGAAAAGTACCGCTAAATAAAACACAAAATATATGGAGGACACAAAATGTTTTTTCCAAACTTTGAATGAAATCAAATTAAACGTTCTGAGTCAATGCAAATATTTGAATATCACAAATTTAATAAAAACAAAGCAAAATTTGAAATAAAGTAATTGGATGCAAATACACAAGTTATTACGGACGTGTGCCCAAGCAGCAGACTGTCGTCTAATTCACGTCAATTTTTGGTCATAACTCGTCGGTGACGTCATTCGCCCAAAAAATCACGTGATAATGACGAGATTTTTATGACTTACTTCTGACGTCAATTAATGACGTCAAAAGGCCGTCCTTTCTTGGTCATTTTTTTATAGATTATATGATCAATTAGATGTGGATCGTCGTATTCTTTAAAAAGTGGCCTTCATAATGCTTAATTATCTTTAGAGCAAAAAAAAAAAACAACGGCTTTATTAGAAATACACCAAAGACAAGTTTTTTCATCTAATAATTTCTAATCAAATAATTATTTCTGAAAACTTGTTTATACTCTGGAAGTGTTATTTTGTAAGTACCTGCTTGGCAAATTATAAATAGAACATCCGGGGTTGAGCGTATAATAGTGAAAAGACCCCAGGATACAAACAAAGTCATAAAAATTCTTTGTCCATTGTCCTTAAAACGGGACAAGGTTTTGAAGAATTGCTTCGTCGAATTTTGATTTTATAAAGACGTTTATAAAGTGATGATGGTTACCAAAAAAATTAGAGAGTGATTTAATATTTAGTTTTATTAAATTTATTTCATCTAATGAAAAAATAATGCTCAACTTCCGTATTTACCATACAATACATCAGATGTTTGAGGCGTGCATTCGGACTTTCCCTTTTTTCGGTATTTATGTTTATTGCACTTCACAGTGAAGCATCCCAATATTTCCAGTTGGTTCTCAACTGCCGAAACTTTCTCGTGTATCCGTTACTCACTTCATTTTTAACGCAGTTTTGTGAAAATTTCTGTACAGTGTGGGTTATACTTATTTACACTAGGTAAGTTAATATCTAATAAAGTAATAATTTTAATTTTTACATGTTTCTGTAATTCTGTTATTTTTGATAACAGTACGTAGATAACAAAAGCAGTTTTTTTAAGAAAGACCACCATTAATCACTGAAGATACTCCCACTGATTATGAAGAACTTACGGTGATTGTTTTTGAAAATGAGGCGCCATAAAAAAAAGGTATATTACTGCAATTATTTATGTACTAATGCTAATGAACATAGTTTTATTCTAGATTTGAAACAAATACAAAACACATGTGCGAAACGAAAGAAATGCTAAGGGAAACGAGTGAAAAAATCTCCAACATGGAAACATCATCAAGTCTGACAACTGAAAAAGAAAACAAAAATAGAAGTTATGCCGCCAAGACCACACCTAAACAAATTTTGACGAATTAGGACCGGTTTATCAATGCGCAGTTAAGTTAAAGTAACTGGCAGTTAAAGCTTGTCTGTCAGTTAACCTGTTTATCATTACCCGCTAGCTCAAAACTGGTGGTCAAAGTGCCTGATAAATTAACTGACAGTTCAAACTGTCAGTTAAAACGTTATCCGCCAGTTAGTGACAACATAACCTAACAAATCCAAATAAATCTGTTATGAATTTAACAATATTTTGATGAGGACTTATGTTGTGCAACAAATTGACAGAGAAAAGATGAGAAAAACACTTATTATTAGCTGATTATTTTCCAGGTCTAATGTGGGTACCAAAAATTAAAAACCTATCTAATAATACCGCGAGATCGAAAAATAAATTAATCGAAGTAGGCCATGCACGACAAGCCGTTTGTCGTAATCACGGTGGTAGGGTAATTTAATTTTTTTTTATTAAATGTCAAATTGACAGTTTAGAGATTAGAATTATGACGCCTACTTTTAAAACACATAAGAATGAATTAAAATCACCGTTTTCCAATTTTGTCTAAAATTTATCCGATTTCTGAAGATTCTAATAACAAAAAAGCTTTAATTTCGTTTGATAACAGTGCAAATTACTTTTGTCAACGTGACGATTAATCAAAAATTATTTTAAACTAAGACAAACGCCTTTTCGTGCATGGCCAACTTTGACTAATTTCTTTTTCGATCTCTCTGTATTTATTTATAGGTGTACCTACTTGTTTCATTTTTAATTTCCAATACTTTTTTTCTAATGCTAAATTTTGCTTTTTCGTGATTGATCACGTGAAACGCGATATACAATCGTTGAATACCGAATGCGGATCAAATCTGACGGAACTTTCAAGGTCGGGGTAGTTTTGAACTGACCAATCACAACTCATTTCCAGTGGGGTGAGCGTTACCAACTTAAGAGAGTAACAGCTAAACTTCGAGCTACGAAACTGGAAGAAACATCGTGCATTGATAAACACTTTACCTCCGTTAACTGCTAGTTACCCTTATCTGACAGTTACTTAACAGACACTTTTAACTGAGCATTGATAAACCGGCCCTTACAAGATTATCTTTGCCTATTAGAATAAGCAGATTTCTTTGTAAGTTAAAAAAATACAATGAATTCATATATACATATAACATAATTGTTCCGGCTTGAAGTGCCAATGTTTCGTACAATCCGAATCGTAGTACCAACGTTTTTTGTAATCCGGTTGATACGACCATGTATGGTGTTCCGAATTGTACCTTGATATTGCTCGAAGGACCTTTGTTTGTTATAATTGAAATAATGGACAGCGTTCGGTTTTGATGTTTAGTGTAGGACGGTTACAGAAGTATAGTGAACCAAGAGTTATAAGGTTATATGGCCATCATAAAATCATCCCATTGTGTCGAAGTTAAGTTGTTTACAATAGAAAAGGTTTTAGGGTCATAAATAACGTGTCCACTGCAGCTCGACCGGCTCTTGTGGTTTCGTTCAGGGGCGGCTTTCACTAAATATGAAAATCCACCACTCCACTATTTCTTTACTACCTGCAGCCGCTGAGGGTTCCGAAATAACCACTCGCTTTGAAAGCCGGCCCTGTTAAATATGAGCAAGAAATGTTTAGAAGATGATTTATTGCCAACCGGTAAGCTTAGTGCGAACCACACAAAGGGGGTATTTATTTGCGGTCAACTACTTTTATGATGGCCATATAACCTTATAGGTCTTGGTTCACTATACTAAAATTACAGTGCTATTTACCAAATCAGGTAATGATACCCAAAAGGGTCAGTGGCCGCTTCCGGAAATGCAACACATAATAGGTATTGGATATTACATACAGGTAGATGCCTGTAATACTACGATATTTTTGATAACTTACTATACATGGCACATTTCGCTTCATTGTAAAAAGTATTGACAACGAGATTTTCCTGATAGGCTATACGTTTTTGTCAATGCAACCATTTTACGATTATCCGTTAGATTCAAGTAAATTTAGCATTTTTAAAATGCAGAATTTGTCTTCTGCTTTAAGCTGTAATCCCTTAAATTTAATAATTTGGCTATTATTGCCCATAGACGAAAAAATGATTGCATTTCCATTAATCCATGCACTCTAATGGGTTTTTCTTTTCAGTGCAATAAATTAAGGCAAACTTAAAAAAGTTAGGTTATTAATATGATTGTTAAAACAGACAGTGGCGGCTGGTGCAGGAAGGGCAAACGGGCAATGCCCCACCAAAATGAAAGCACATTTTTAAATCTGAGAATTTCGCGCTATTAATTATCAAAATGCATTTAATTACGAAACCTACAAGTTGCCTATGTTCAGAACCACGGTTGTAGAATAGATAGGTTGATACACTAGCAT